AATTTTGGTCAATGACATGAGACAAAGTATATGTGAACTGCTGTATGAAAAGTGAATTTACTCTGTAAATCTTCACCCAAATCCTAATAAAAAAAAAAAAGAAAAGAAAAAAAAAATGATAATGAAACAATTATAATAGTATTCTCCCTCAAAGCCTCCCTCGGGAGACAACAAGCTCACGTATATTAAATGCTGGCACAGAGTAGGTGCTCAGTAAATGCTGGGAATTGGCCTGGAGTCACAGCCTCTCCAGTGCTTTCTTCTCTTCCCTTCACCCTTCCCCAGTCCCTGCAACTGCTGTTCCAGTCTTCCTGTCCTGTTGCTGTTCCTGGGGCCCAGGGTCTCTTACCTGAGAGAACTGCCAGTGAAGCTTCATTCTCTTGGCTTTGGCATAGCTGCATTCGATGAGCCGTGGACGACTGTTGACATCTACCAGGCACCGGTTGTCATCGTCATCGACCGTGGGGCTCAGAATGCCTACGTGAATCTGCTGACTGCTTGTGTAGTACACATTCTGGGAGTCAAGGGAGGGAGAAAGAATGAGAAAAGGAGGTGAATACCAAGGCCAGAGGTGGAGCAGATGAGTGAGGATTCTCCCCAGGGGGCTGGCAAAGAGATCACAGTTAAGTAGACTCTGGATTCCTTACATTGTTTGTCTTTTGCAATCAACCAACATTATCAGGACATAAAATATCCTTACCACATGCAATGCACTCTGATCTATTCTATTCCATCCCATTTCATTCTGTTCTTTCATTGAAAAACAACATGGTCATAACCTTATAAATTGATTTCATGACTCACACTGCTTGAATCCATCTATTCATCGACTCACTGACCTCCTTCCTACCTCCACAAATATTTTATACCAAGACAATGTGCCAATGCAACAGATACAGAGCAAAAAGACCGAGACCATGCCTGCTGGAGCTTAGAGTCCTGAAGGATGAGAGATTGTAATATTTAATTTCCACTGGTACTAAGACTGTAGAGCAGGAGGTGGCAAACTTTTTCTTCAAGGGCCAGATGACAAATATTTTTGGCTTTGTGGGCCAGACACTTTCAGTCAACTCAACTCTGCCATTGTAGTACAAACACAGACAAATGACCATCTTCTAATAACACTTTTTTTAAAAAAAATAAAAACAGATAGTGGTCCTGTGGGCCATAGTTTGCTGACCCTGGTCTCTAGCCATGTGACCCTTGACCTTCAAAGTTTTCAATAACTGCACTCAACTCTGAGCAGTGATTCCCAATAATGGCTCTGAGTGGGAAGTTATGGGGTTCTCTGGGTCCTTTTCCCTATTTTTACTAAAGGAATGAACACAACTCCCTATGATTAGGCCACATGGGTAAACCAATATGCCACATTTTTCTTTAGGTAAGAGTTCAGGATGGTCTCTATTACTATTTTAATCTGTTTAAAAATTCTCATTGAAAAATATTTTTAATTAATTAAAGATGGTAAAATGACATATTTCTTGCTTTAGTAAAAGGAGGTGGTTGACAAGAACTTTTTAAGCATGGGTGCAGGGCATGAAAAGGGCTGTGATGGTGAGTAGGGCAGTGCAGGCAGGGGGGTGGGAAGTAAGGGTTAGTCCTTCATCAGTATATTCTTCCTGACCCTCAGAAGTTTCTCTAGGCATCCAGGGAGGGTGGAGGACCAGGCGGGGCCCTCCCCCATAGAATAGGTCTTAGGGGAATGTTGTATTATATATTCATTTACAACAATTAAAAAAATGCAAAACAAAAGAAAACCCTAACCAGTACTCCTCAAAACTGTCAAGTTCATCAAAACCAAGGAAAGTCTAAGAAACTGTCACACCCAAGAGGAATCTAAGGACACATGACAGTTAAATGTAATGTGGTATCTTGGATGGGATCTTGGGATAGGAAAAGGACATTAGAAAAATACTAGGGAAATGAACTTATTTAATAACAATGTATCAATATTGGTTCATTAGTTATAAAAAGTGTACCATGTTAATAATGCAAGAGTATATGTGAACTCTTTGTACTATCATTGCAATATTTCTATAAATTACAACTGTTCTGAAAAAAAAAAAAAAAACTTTTCTAAAAGAAAATAAGAACAAGAGCAGGGACTTAACCTAGTGTATTGGTCAAAGCCCCAATAGGAAACAGGTGAGTTACTCAAGTTAGGGAGGAGGGTATAATGAAGGCACAATTTTCAAAGGTATAAGTATGGTATAGGGGAACTGTGGTAGTTAAGGTTGTGTGTCAACTTGGCAGGGCCTGGTTGAGTGGCTGGGCAGCTGGTGGTAGTTACTCCCCATGATTAGACTGGCAATCAACTCCATGCTGGGATCTACCACAAGCACCTGAGTAGCTGCTTTAGGGATGTGGTCTGCTTCCTGTATATAAGAAACAGCTTTGGGAATGGTCTCTAGCTTATGGCACGCTCGAACCCTGCATGTAGCTGAGTCATTGTTCAGCAGCCTGCCATGCTCTGCCGATCTTAGGACTTTCGATAGACTTGAATCAATGGCCTGCTGTGTTGTTTAGTGGCATCTTGTGCCATTTTATTTGTTGACATTGGGCTTGTTAGCCAGTAGCTGCCTGAGTGAAGAAATGTCTCTAGCTTCAGGGGGCTTCCAAGTCAAGGAGGTTTCACATAGCTCCTAGAGCCTGGCACTTTGAACTTGGACTTAATACAGAGATGAGAAAGTCATGGTCTCCATCCCGGAGATGCCAATAGCCAACTTGGGAAGACCAATGTATCGGGGAATAATGACCCTAATCACACGTATATAAGAACTATCCCTACTTCTTCCATGTGCCTACTTTGATTCTTGCTACTTTAAAAATAGAAAACTCATCACCCTGAATATGCAGAAGCATGGAACCTCAGCCTGCTTCCAAGTCCTTGCTTCAAAACATGCACACCTGTTTATACCCTTGAGTTGAATACACCATAATGTCTCCTCAGGACAGAGTGTAGTTCTTGTTTACCTGTGTGTCAGTACCCAGATTTCCTGAGGCTCAGGGGTGTGGGGCTACAAAATAAGGAGAGTCAGGGACCCCAGTCATGCCCGCTCCTCTCTTTATTCCTTGTCATCTAGGTCTAACTCTCATCTCCAGGGCAGACTCCACAGACACAAGCGGCCACCCAGTAATAGCTGAAATCAGCTTTATCCACTTAGCGGCTCTGAAGTGCTTGAGGGAGATGCTCTGAGAGACATGTGAGTGCTTACTATCTGGTACAGCTGTCACCAGAGCTCTTCATTGCTCCAAAGTCTGGTAAAATCATAATAGGGACAGACAGTTGTTTGTTATTTAAAAAGCAAACAACAAAGTGAGTAACGTAACCATGAAGCCAGCAGATCACAGAGAAAGATTTGGCAAAGAGGATCCTCTCAAATTGTCACTTGGACATCTCAGAAGCCCAGCTCATAGAGGATTGAATCAATAAATGGCCTGAACACAAAAATGGGAAACAGTTTTGTACAAGATGCCCCAATTTTACCACCTGCAGGCCTGCAAGCACCAGCTATGCTTTCTGAGCTAAGAAGCCCTGCTGGGCACAGTCTGAATCATTGCACATATACGTCTCATTCGATTCATGCATTCACTTGGCAAAAGATACATTTAGTGTAGACAGCCTGTCAGACTTGAAGAGAGGCACTTGTTCATAATAGAGATAAACAAGAAGTGGTTCCTGTCTTCAAGGAGCTCTCTATTTAATGGAGAAAAAAGTCAGGTGAAAAAAGAAATCACTCATGAGATTGTACAACACAAAGAGTGAATTATAATATAAATTATAGATTTTAGCTAATATGATGTATCAATGTTTGTCATCAGTTGTAACAAATGTACCACAGGAATACAAGATGCTAATAATGAGAGAAACTGTGTGCAATGGTAGAGGACATACATAGGAACTTTCTTTGCACAATTTTTTGTAAACCTAAAATTGCTCTAAAAGAGAAAATTTATTTAAAAAAATAATACTCATTACACAATAGGGTAGTTTCACTTCTGTTTCTGACCTTTCAAGCCACAAGAAAATATCACCTCCACCACAAGAAAATATCACCTCCACCCCAACAATGAGAAAAATCTGAATAATGTACAAAATAATTTTCTGAGGGGTGGGGAGCTGGTGGTTAAGGCATTTGGCTGCTAGCCATAAAGGTCCATACTTTGAGATTATGAGCAGCTCTGCAGGAAAACCATGCGACAGTCTGCTTCCATAAAGGCTTACAGCCTTGGAAACCCTTTGGGGCAGTCCTACACTGTCATATAGGTTAGCTATGAGTGGCAGTCGACTAGGTGGCAGTGGGTTATTGGAACGACGCAATCTGCGCGCTGAGCAAATAATCTGAAGAGCTGGGCTCTATGAAGAAGTACATGGCATTAGGAGTGGACGAAGATTCATTAACAGCCTGTGATATGCAGATGACACAGGCTTGCTTACTCAAAACAAAGAGGGTTTGAAGCACTTACTGACAGATCAAAGACTATAGCCTTCAGTGTGGATTACACCTCAACATAAAGAAAACAAAAATTCTCACAAATGGGTCAATAAGCAGCATCATGATGAATGGAGAGAACAGTAGTTTTAAAGATTTCATTTTACTTGGATCCATAATCAATGGCCATGGAAGCAGCAGTCAAGAAATCAAATGACATATACCATTGGTCAAATCTGTTGCAAAGACCTTTTTAAAGTGTTAAAAAGCAAAGAGGTCACCTTGAGGACTAAGGTGTGTCTGACCCAAGCTGTGGTATTTTCAATCCCTCACATGCATGCGAAAGCCAGACAATGAATAAGGAAGACTGAAGAACTAGGAGCTCTGGTGGCATAGTGTCTAAGTCATCTTGACTGCTAACCAGAAGTCTGGTGGTTCAAACCCAACAGCCACTCCTTGGAAGGAAGATGGTGCAATCTACTATCCGTAGTGATACCACTTCGGAAACCCAAGGAGGGGTCGCTATGAGTTGGATCCTACTCAACGGCAGTGAGTTTTTTTTTTTTTTTGGTTTGAAGAAGAACTGATGCCTTTGAATGATGGTGATGGCAAAAAATATTGAACATACTAGGACTCCAAGAAGAACGAACAAATCTATCTTGGAAGAGGTACAACCAGTATGCTTTTTAGAAGCTAGGATGGCAAGACTTCATCTCACATACTTGGGACATATCATCAGGAGGGACCAGTCCCTGGAGAAGGACACCATACTTGGTAAGATAGAGGGTCAGCCAAAAAGAGGAAGACCCTTAAGGAGATAGATTGGCATAGTAGCTGCAACAATGGCCTCAAACATAGCAAAGACTGTGAGGATGGCATCGGACTGAGCAGTGTTTCATTCTGTTATGCATAGGATCACTGTGAGCTGCAACCAAACACACCTAACCGCAATAACAACATCAGAATGTCGAGGTCCCAAGGTAATCAGGTGAACTGAAGTCCAAAGGGTAATGACCTCTGCTAAGGAGAGATAGGACACATGAGCTTTTTCACCTTTGGCAAAGCATGAGAGGAAGAGGTG